ACCTTCCGCGTTTTGGGGCTGGAAGCATTAATCCCGAGCGTTTTTCTTCCGCCGGGACACGTGGCTGCGCTTATCCGGGCCTATTGCCAAGCCAGCAAGGGCGTGGGAGGGTTGCGAGCATCATCGGTCATCGGCGCTCGCGAATGAAGAGCGCCCGCTGCACTTCCTGCACATGTACGGATCCTTCCGGGTTTTGGGGCTGGAAGCGCTCGTTCTGAGCGTTTCTCTTCCGCCGGGTCACGTGGCTGCGCTTGTCTAGGCCTATTGCCAAGCCAGCAAGGGCGTGGGAGGGTTGCGAGCATCATCGGTCATCGGCGCTCGCGAATGAAGAGCGCCCACTGCACTTCCTGCACATGTACGGATCCTTCCGGGGTTTGGGGCTGGAAGCGCTCGTTCCGAGCATTATTCTTCCACCGGGTCACGTGGATGCGCTTGTCTGGGCCTATTGCCAAGCCAGCAAGGGCGTGGGAGGGTTACGAGCATCATCGTTAATCGGCGCTCGCGAATGAAGAGCGCCCGATGCACTTCCTGCACATGTACGGATCCTTCCGCGTTTTGGGCTGGAAGCGCTCGTTCCGAGCGTTTCTCTTCCGCCGGGTCACGTGGCTGCGCTTGTCTAGGCCTATTGCCAAGCCAGCAAGGGCGTGGGAGGGTTGCGAGCATCATCGGTCATCGACGCTCGCGAATGAAGAGCGCCCGCTGCACTTCCTGCACATGCGCGGATCCTTCCGCGTTTTGGTGCTGGAAGCGCTCGTTCCGAGCGTTTCTCTTCCGCCGGGTCACGTGTCTGCACTTTTCTGGGCCTATTGCCAAGCCAGCAAGGGCGTGGGAGGGTTGCGAGCATCATCGGTCAACGGCGCTCGCGAATGAAGAGCGCCCGCTGCACTTCCTGCACATGTGCGGATCCTTCCGCATTTTGGGGCTGGAAGCGCTCGTTCCGAGCGTTTCTCTTCCGCCGGGTCACGTGGCTGCGGTTGTCTGGGCCTATTGCCAAGCCAGCAAGGGCGTGGGAGGGTTGCGAGCATCATCGGTCATCGGCCCTCGCGAATGAAGAGCGCCCGCTGTACTTCCTGCACATGCGCGGATCCCTCCGCGTTTTGGTGCTGGAAGCGCTCGTTCCGAGCGTTTTTCTTCCGCCGGGTCACGTGGCTGCGCTTGCCTGGGCCTATTGCCAAGCCAGCAAGGGCGTGGGAGGGTTGCGAGCATCATCGGTCATCGGCCCTCGGGAATGAAGAGCGCCCGCTGCACTTCCTGCACATGCGCGGATCCCTCCGCGTTTTGGGGCTGGAAGCACTAATCCCGAGCGTTTTTCTTCCGCCGAGCCACGTGGCTGCGCTTGCCTGGGCCTATTGCCAAGCCAGCAAGGGCGTGGGAGGGTTGCGAGTATCATCGGTCATCGGCGCTCGCGAATGAAGAGCGCCCACTGCACTTCCTGCACATGCGCGGAACCTTCCGCGTTTTCGGGCTGGAAGCACTAATCCCGAGCGTTTTTCTTCCGCCGGGTCACGTGGCTGCGCTTGTTTGGGCCTATTGCCAAGCCAGCAAGGGCGTGGGAGGGTTGCGAGCATCATCGGTCATCGACGCTCGCGAATGAAGAGCGACCGCTGCACTTCCTGCACATGTGTGGATCCTTCCGCGTTTTGGGGCTGGAAGGCATCGTTTCGAGCGTTTTTCTCCCGCCGGGTCACGTGGCTGCGCTTGTCTGGGCCTATTGCCAAGCTAGAAAGGGCGCGGGAGGGTTGCGAGCATCATCGGCCATCGGCGCTCACGAACGAAGAGCGACCGCTGCACTTCCGGCACATGTACGGATCCTTCCGCGTTTTGGGACTGGAAGCGCTCGTTCCGAGCGTTTCTCTTCCGCCGGTTCACGTGGCTGCGCTTGTCTGGGCCTATTGCCGAGCCAGCAAGGGCGTGGGAGGGTTGCGAGCATCATCGGCCATCGGCGCTTGCGAATGAAGAGTGACCGCTGCACTTCCGGCACATGTACGGATCCTTCCGCGTTTTGGGGCTGGAAGCGCTCGTTCCGAGCGTTTTTCTCCCGCCGGGTCACGTGGCTGTGCTTGTCTGGGCCAATTGCCAAGCCAGCAAGGGCGTGGGAGGGTTGCGAGTATCATCGGTCATCGGCGCTCGCGAATGAAGAGCGCCCGCTGCACTTCCTGCACATGCGCGGATCCTTCCGCGTTTTGGGGCTGGAAGCGCTCGTTCCGAGCGTTTCTCTTCCGCCGGGTCACGTGGCTGCGCTTGTCTGGGCCTATTGCCAAGCCAGCAAGGGCGTGGGAGGGTTGCGAGCATCATCGTTCATCGGCGCTCGCGAATGAAGGGCGCTCGCGAATGAAGAGCGCCCGCTGCACTTCCTGCACATGCGCGGATCCTTCCGCTTTTTGGGGCTGGAAGCGCTCGTTCCGAGCGTTTTTCTTCCGCCGGGTCACGTGGCTGCGCTTGTCTGGGCCTATTGCCAAGCCAGCAAGGGCGTGGGAGGGTTGCAAGCATCATCGGTCATCGGCCCTCGCGAAAGAAGAGCGCCCGCTGCACTTCCTGCACATGTGCGGATCCTTCCGCGTTTTGGGGCTGGAAGCCCTCGTTTCGACCGTTTTTCTTCCGCTGGGTCACGTGGCTGCGCTTGTCTGGCCCTACTGCCAAGCCAGCAAGGGCGTAGGAGGGTTGCGAGCATCATCGGTCATTGGCGCTCGCGAATGAAGATCGCCCGCTGCACTTCCTGCACATGTGCGGATCCTTCAGCGTTTTGGGGCTGGAAGCGCTCGTTTCGAGCGTTTTTCTTCCGCCGGGTCACGTGGCTGCGCTTGTCTAGTCCTATTGCCAAGCCAGCAAGGGCGTGGGAGGGTTGCGAGCATCATCGGTCATCGACGCTCGCGAATGAAGAGCGCCCGCTGCACTTCCTGCACATGCGCGGATCCTTCCGCGTTTTGGTGCTGGAAGCGCTCGTTACGAGCGTTTCTCTTCCGCCGGGTCACGTGTCTGCACTTTTCTGGGCCTATTGCCAAGCCAGCAAGGGCGTGGGAGGGTTGCGAGCATCATCGGTCAACGGCGCTCGCGAATGAAGAGCGCCCGCTGCACTTCCTGCACATGTGCGGATCCTTCCGCATTTTGGGGCTGGAAGCGCTCGTTCCGAGCGTTTCTCTTCCGCCGGGTCACGTGGCTGCGGTTGTCTGGGCCTATTGCCAAGCCAGCAAGGGCGTGGGAGGGTTGCGAGCATCATCGGTCATCGGCCCTCGCGAATGAAGAGCGCCCGCTGTACTTCCTGCACATGCGCGGATCCCTCCGCGTTTTGGTGCTGGAAGCGCTCGTTCCGAGCGTTTTTCTTCCGCCGGGTCACGTGGCTGCGCTTGCCTGGGCCTATTGCCAAGCCAGCAAGGGCGTGGGAGGGTTGCGAGCATCATCGGTCATCGGCCCTCGGGAATGAAGAGCGCCCGCTGCACTTCCTGCACATGCGCGGATCCCTCCGCGTTTTGGGGCTGGAAGCACTAATCCCGAGCGTTTTTCTTCCGCCGAGCCACGTGGCTGCGCTTGCCTGGGCCTATTGCCAAGCCAGCAAGGGCGTGGGAGGGTTGCGAGTATCATCGGTCATCGGCGCTCGCGAATGAAGAGCGCCCACTGCACTTCCTGCACATGCGCGGAACCTTCCGCGTTTTCGGGCTGGAAGCACTAATCCCGAGCGTTTTTCTTCCGCCGGGTCACGTGGCTGCGCTTGTTTGGGCCTATTGCCAAGCCAGCAAGGGCGTGGGAGGGTTGCGAGCATCATCGGTCATCGACGCTCGCGAATGAAGAGCGACCGCTGCACTTCCTGCACATGTGTGGATCCTTCCGCGTTTTGGGGCTGGAAGGCATCGTTTCGAGCGTTTTTCTCCCGCCGGGTCACGTGGCTGCGCTTGTCTGGGCCTATTGCCAAGCTAGAAAGGGCGCGGGAGGGTTGCGAGCATCATCGGCCATCGGCGCTCACGAACGAAGAGCGACCGCTGCACTTCCGGCACATGTACGGATCCTTCCGCGTTTTGGGACTGGAAGCGCTCGTTCCGAGCGTTTCTCTTCCGCCGGTTCACGTGGCTGCGCTTGTCTGGGCCTATTGCCGAGCCAGCAAGGGCGTGGGAGGGTTGCGAGCATCATCGGCCATCGGCGCTTGCGAATGAAGAGTGACCGCTGCACTTCCGGCACATGTACGGATCCTTCCGCGTTTTGGGGCTGGAAGCGCTCGTTCCGAGCGTTTTTCTCCCGCCGGGTCACGTGGCTGTGCTTGTCTGGGCCAATTGCCAAGCCAGCAAGGGCGTGGGAGGGTTGCGAGTATCATCGGTCATCGGCGCTCGCGAATGAAGAGCGCCCGCTGCACTTCCTGCACATGCGCGGATCCTTCCGCGTTTTGGGGCTGGAAGCGCTCGTTCCGAGCGTTTCTCTTCCGCCGGGTCACGTGGCTGCGCTTGTCTGGGCCTATTGCCAAGCCAGCAAGGGCGTGGGAGGGTTGCGAGCATCATCGTTCATCGGCGCTCGCGAATGAAGGGCGCTCGCGAATGAAGAGCGCCCGCTGCACTTCCTGCACATGCGCGGATCCTTCCGCTTTTTGGGGCTGGAAGCGCTCGTTCCGAGCGTTTTTCTTCCGCCGGGTCACGTGGCTGCGCTTGTCTGGGCCTATTGCCAAGCCAGCAAGGGCGTGGGAGGGTTGCAAGCATCATCGGTCATCGGCCCTCGCGAAAGAAGAGCGCCCGCTGCACTTCCTGCACATGTGCGGATCCTTCCGCGTTTTGGGGCTGGAAGCCCTCGTTTCGACCGTTTTTCTTCCGCTGGGTCACGTGGCTGCGCTTGTCTGGCCCTACTGCCAAGCCAGCAAGGGCGTAGGAGGGTTGCGAGCATCATCGGTCATTGGCACTCGCGAATGAAGATCGCCCGCTGCACTTCCTGCACATGTGCGGATCCTTCAGCGTTTTGGGGCTGGAAGCGCTCGTTTCGAGCGTTTTTCTTCCGCCGGGTCACGTGGCTGCGCTTGTCTAGTCCTATTGCCAAGCCAGCAAGGGCGTGGGAGGGTTGCCAGCATCATCGGTCATCGGCGCTCGCGAACGAAGAGCGACCGCTGCACTTCCTGCAGATGTGCGGATCCCTCCGCGTTTTGGGGCTGGAAGCGCTCGTTCCGAGCGTTTTTCTTCCGCCGGGTCACGTGGCTGCGCGTGTCGTAGCTTGTGAGTCGACTCAAAGCGCACCTCCATCGCTGTGTTGTATTGAGCCCCACGCACCTCTCCATCTCGGTGCCCTTGTCGCTCTGCCTCGCGTGACTTGTGAGTCGACTCAAAACGCACCTCCATCTCTGTGTCGTAGTGAGCCCCACGCACCTCTCCATCTCGGTGCCCTTGTCGCTCTGCCTCGCGTGACTTGTGAGTCGACTCAAAACGCACCTCCATCTCTGTGTCGTAGTGAGCCCCACGCACCTCTCCATCTCGGTGCCCTTGTCGCTCTGCCTCGCGTGACTTGTGAGTCGACTCAAAACGCACCTCCATCTCTGTGTCGTAGTGAGCCCCACGCACCTCTCCATCTCGGTGCCCTTGTCGCTCTGCCTCGCGTGACTTGTGAGTCGACTCAAAACGCACCTCCATCTCTGTGTCGTAGTGAGCCCCACGCACCTCTCCATCTCGGTGCCCTTGTCGCTCTGCCTCGCGTGACTTGTGAGTCGACTCAAAACGCACCTCCATCTCTGTGTCGTAGTGAGCCCCACGCACCTCTCCATCTCGGTGCCCTTGTCGCTCTGCCTCGCGTGACTTGTGAGTCGACTCAAAACGCACCTCCATCTCTGTGTCGTAGTGAGCCCCACGCACCTCTCCATCTCGGTGCCCTTGTCGCTCTGCCTCGCGTGACTTGTGAGTCGACTCAAAACGCACCCCCATCTCTGTGTCGTAGTGAGCCCCACGCACCTCTCCATCTCGGTGCCCTTGTCGCTCTGCCTCGCGTGACTTGTGAGTCGACTCAAAACGCACCCCCATCTCTGTGTCGTAGTGAGCCCCACGCACCTCTCCATCTCGGTGCCCTTGTCGCTCTGCCTCGCGTGACTTGTGAGTCGACTCAAAACGCACCCCCATCTCTGTGTCGTAGTGAGCCCCACGCACCTCTCCATCTCGGTGCCCTTGTCGCTCTGCCTCGCGTGACTTGTGAGTCGACTCAAAACGCACCCCCATCTCTGTCTCGTAGTGAGCCCCACGCACCTCTCCATCTCGGTGCCCTTGTCGCTCTGCCTCGCGTGACTTGTGAGTCGACTCAAAACGCACCTCCATCTCTGTCTCGTAGTGAGCCCCACGCACCTCTCCATCTCGGTGCCCTTGTCGCCCTGCCTCGCGTGACTTGTGAGTCGACTCAAAACGCACCCCCATCTCTGTGTCGTAGTGAGCCCCACGCACCTCTCCATCTCGGTGCCCTTGTCGCTCTGCCTCGCGTGACTTGTGAGTCGACTCAAAACGCACCCCCATCTCTGTGTCGTAGTGAGCCCCACGCACCTCTCCATCTCGGTGCCCTTGTCGCTCTGCCTCGCGTGACTTGTGAGTCGACTCAAAACGCACCCCCATCTCTGTGTCGTAGTGAGCCCCACGCACCTCTCCATCTCGGTGCCCTTGTCGCTCTGCCTCGCGTGACTTGTGAGTCGACTCAAAACGCACCTCCATCTCTGTGTCGTAGTGAGCCCCACGCACCTCTCCATCTCGGTGCCCTTGTCGCTCTGCCTCGCGTGACTTGTGAGTCGACTCAAAACGCACCCCCATCTCTGTGTCGTAGTGAGCCCCACGCACCTCTCCATCTCGGTGCCCTTGTCGCTCTGCCTCGCGTGACTTGTGAGTCGACTCAAAACGCACCCCCATCTCTGTGTCGTAGTGAGCCCCACGCACCTCTCCATCTCGGTGCCCTTGTCGCTCTGCCTCGCGTGACTTGTGAGTCGACTCAAAACGCACCCCAATCTCTGTGTCGTAGTGAGCCCCACGCACCTCTCCATCTCGGTGCCCTTGTCGCTCTGCCTCGCGTGACTTGTGAGTCGACTCAAAACGCACCTCCATCTCTGTGTCGTAGTGGGCCCCACGCACCTCTCCATCTCGGTGCCCTTGTCGCTCTGCCTCGCGTGACTTGTGAGTCGACTCAAAACGCACCTCCATCTCTGTGTCGTAGTGGGCCCCACGCACCTCTCCATCTCGGTGCCCTTGTCGCTCTGCCTCGCGTGACTTGTGAGTCGACTCAAAACGCACCTCCATCTCTGTGTCGTAGTGAGCCCCACGCACCTCTCCATCTCGGTGCCCTTGTCGCTCTGCCTCGCGTGACTTGTGAGTCGACTCAAAACGCACCTCCATCTCTGTGTCGTAGTGAGCCCCACGCACCTCTCCATCTCGGTGCCCTTGTCGCTCTGCCTCGCGTGACTTGAGTGTCGACTCAAAACGCACCTCCATCTCTGTGTCGTAGTGAAACATTTCTTAGTGAAGCTATGCTTGAGTTCTACCAAGGCAACCAACCACTCTGTCAAGAATTACTGCCATAACTCTGACCGTGCGTCCCACACAATTCAGCTGTCCCGTAGAATAGCTTTCTTCGCAGGGAGAATGGGGCGGGGTGATGGAAAGCGGGAGAATGGGGCGGGGTGATGGAAAGCGGGAGAATGGGGCGGGGAGATGGAAAGCGGGAGAATGGGGCGCGGCGATGGAAAGAGGGAGAATGGGGCGGGGCGATGGAAAGAGGGAGAATGAGGCGGGGTGATGGAAAGCGTGAGAATGGGGTGGGGTGATGGAAAGCGGGAGAATGGGACGGGGTGATGGAAAGCGGGAGAGTGGGGCGGGGTGATGGAATGCGGGAGAATGGGGCGGGGTGATGGAAAGCGGGAGAATGGGGCGGGGTGATGGAAAGCGGGAGAGTGGGGCGGGGTGATGGAAAGCGGGAGAATGGGGCGGGGTGATGGAAAGCGGGAGAATGGGGCGGGGTGATGGAAAGCGGGAGAATGGGGCGGGGCGATGGAAAGCGGGAGAATGGGGCTGCGCGATGGAAAGCGGGAGAATGGGGCGCGGTGATGGAAAGCGGGAGAATGGGGCGGGGTGATGGAAAGCGGGAGAATGGGGCGGGGTGATGGAAAGCGGGAGAATGGCGCGGGGTTATGGAAAGCGGGAGAATGGGGCGGGGTGATGGAAAGCGGGAGAATGGGGCGGGGTGATGGAAAGAGGGAGAATAGGGCGGGGTGATTGAATGAGGGAGAATGGGGCGGGGTGATGGAAAGCGGGAGAATGGGGCGGGGTGATGGAAAGCGGGAGAATGAGGCGGGGTGATGGAAAGCGGGAGAATGGGGCGGGGCAATGGAAAGCGAGAGAATGGGGCGGGGTGATGGAAAGCGGGAGAATTGGGCTGGGTGATGGAAAGAGGGAGAACGGGGCGGGGTGATGGAAAGAGGGAGAATGGGGCGGGGTGATGGAAAGCGGGAGAATGGGGCGGGGTGATGTAAAGAGGGAGAATGGGGCGGGGTGATGGAAAGCGGAAGATTGGGGCGGGGCGATGGAAAGCGGGAGAATGGGCTGGGCGATGGAAAGCGGGAGAATGGGGCGGGGTGATGGAAAGCGGGAGAATGGGGCGGGGTGATGGAAAGCGGGAGAATGGGGCGGGGTGATGGAAAGCGGGAGAATGGGGCGGGGTGATGGAAAGTGGGAGAATGGGCCTGGGTGATGGAAAGAGGGAGAATGGGGCGGGGTGATGGAAAGAGGGAGAATGGGGCGGGGTGATGGAAAGTGGGAGAAAGGGGCGGGGTGATGGAAAGTGGGAGAACGGGGCGGGGTGATGGAAAGCGGGAGAACGGGGCCGGGTAATGGAAAGAGGGAGAACGGGGCGGGGTGATGGAAAGAGGAAGAATGGGGCGGGGTGATGGAAAGAGGGAGAATGGGGCGGGGTGATGGAAAGAGGGAGAATGGGGCGGGGCGATGGAAAGCAGGAGAACGGGGCGGGGTGATGGAAAGAGGGAGAATGGGGCGGGGTGATGGAAAGAGGAAGAACGGGGCAGGGTAATGGAAAGAGGGAGAATGGGGCTGGGTGATGGAAAGAGGGAGAATGGGGCGGGTGATGGATAGAGGGAGAATGGGGCGGGGTGATGGAAAGTAGGAGAATGGGGCGGGGTGATTGAAAGAGGGTGAATGGGGTGGGGTGATGGAAATAGGGAGAATGGGACAGGGTGATGGAAAGCGAGAGAATGGGGCGGGGCGATGGAAAGAGGGAGAATGGGGCGGGGCGATGGAAAGCGGGAGAATGGGGCGGGGCGATGGAAAGCAGGAGAATGGGGCGGGGTGATGGAAAGGCGGGAGAATGGGGCTGGGTGATGGAAAGAGGGAGAATGGGGCGGGGTGATGGAAAGAGGGAGAATGGGGCTGGTTGATGGGAAGAGGGAGAATGGGGCTGGGTGATGGAAAGAGGGAGACTGGGGCTGGGTGATGGAAAGCGGGATAATGGGGCGGGGTGTTTGAAAGAGGGGAATGGGGCGGGGTGATGGAAAGCGGGAGAACGGGGCGGGGTGATGGAAAGCGGGAGAACGGGGCGGGGTGATGGAAAGCGGGAGAACGGGGCGGGGTAATGGAAAGAGGGAGAACAGGGCGGGGCAATGGAAAGATAGAGAATGGGACGGGGCGATGGAAACCGGGAGAACGGGGCAGGGCAATGGAAAGAGGGAGAATGGGACGGGGCGATGGAAAGCGAGAGAACGGGGCAGGGTGATGGAAAGAGGGAGAATGGGGCGGGGTGATGGAAAGAGGGAGAATGGGGCGGAGTGATGGAAAGAGGGAGAATGGGGCGGGGTGATGGAAAGAGGGAGAATGGGGTTGGGTGATGGAAAGAGGGAGAATGGGGCTGGGTGATGGAAAGAGGGAGAATGGGGCGGGGCGATGGAAAGAGGGAGAATGGGGCGGGGTGATGGAAAGCGGGAGAATGGGGCGGGGTGATGGAAAGAGGGAGAATGGGGGGGGGGCGATGGAAAGAGGGAGAATGGGGCGGGGTGATGGAAAGCGGGAGAATGGGGTGGGGTGATGGAAAGAGGGAGAATGGGGCGGGGTGATGGAAAGAGGGAGAATGGGGCGGGTTGATGGAAAGAGGGAGAATGGGGCGGGGTGATGGAAAGAGGGAGAATGGGGCGAGGTGATGGAAAGCGGGAGAATGGGGCGGGGCGATGGAAAGAGGGAGAATGGGGCGGGGCGATGGAAAGCGGGAGAATGGGGCGGGGCGATGGAAAGAGGGAGAATGAGGCGGGGTGATGGAAAGAGGGAGAATGGGGCAGGGTGATGGAAAGAGGGAGAATGGGGCTGGTTGATGGGAAGAGGGAGAATGGGGCTGGGTGATGGAAAGAGGGAGACTGGGGCTGGGTGATGGAAAGCGGGATAATGGGGCGGGGTGTTTGAAAGAAGGGAATGGGGATGGGTAATGGAAAGAGGGAGAATGGGGCGGGGTGATGGAAAGCGGGAGAATGGGGCGGGGTGATGGAAAGCGGGAGAACGGGGCGGGGTAATGGAAAGAGAGAGAACAGGGCGGGGTGATGGAAAGATAGAGAATGGGGAGGGGTGATGGAAACCGGGAGAATGGGGCGGGGCAATGGAAAGAGAGAGAATGGGACGGGGCGATGGAAAGCGAGAGAACGGGGCAGGGTGATGGAAAGAGGGAGAATGGGGCGGGGTGATGGAAAGAGGGAAAATGGGGCGGGGTGATGGAAAGAGGGAGAATGGGGCGGGGTGATGGAAAGAGGGAGAATGGGGATGGGTTATGGAAAGAGGGAGAATGGGGCTGGGTGATGGAAAGAGGGAGAATGGGGCGGGGCGATGGAAAGAGGGAGAATGGGGCGGGGTGATGGAAAGCGGGAGAATGGGGCGGGGTGATGGAAAGAGGGAGAATGGGGGGGGGGGGCGATGGAAAGAGGGAGAATGGGGCGGGGTGATGGAAAGCGGGAGAATGGGGCGAGGTGATGGAAAGATGGAGAATGGGGCGGGGTGATGGAAAGAGGGAGAATGGGGCGGGGTGATGGAAAGAGGGAGAATGGGGCGGGGTGATGGAAAAAGGGAGAATGGGGCTGGTTGATGGGAAGAGGGAGAATGGGGCTGGGTGATGGAAAGAGGGAGACTGGGGCTGGGTGATGGAAAGCGGGATAATGGGGCGGGGTGTTTGAAAGAAGGGAATGGGGCGGGGTGATGGAAAGCGGGAGAACGGGGCGGGGTGATGGAAAGCGGGAGAACGGGGCGGGGTGATGGAAGGCGGGAGAATGGGGCGGGGTGATGGAAAGCGGGAGAACGGGGCGGGGTAATGGAAAGAGGGAGAACAGGGCGGGGCAATGGAAAGATAGAGAATGGGACGGGGCGATGGAAACCGGGAGAACGGGGCAGGGCAATGGAAAGAGGGAGAATGGGACGGGGCGATGGAAAGCGAGAGAACGGGGCAGGGTGATGGAAAGAGGGAGAATGGGGCGGGGTGATGGAAAGAGGGAGAATGGGGCGGAGTGATGGAAAGAGGGAGAATGGGGCGGGGTGATGGAAAGAGGGAGAATGGGGTTGGGTGATGGAAAGAGGGAGAATGGGGCTGGGTGATGGAAAGAGGGAGAATGGGGCGGGGCGATGGAAAGAGGGAGAATGGGGCGGGGTGATGGAAAGCGGGAGAATGGGGCGGGGTGATGGAAAGAGGGAGAATGGGGGGGGGGCGATGGAAAGAGGGAGAATGGGGCGGGGTGATGGAAAGTGGGAGAATGGGTCGGGGTGATGGAAAGAGGGAGAATAGGGCGGGGTGATGGAAAGAGGGAGAATGGGGCGGGTTGATGGAAAGAGGGAGAATGGGGCGGGGTGATGGAAAGAGGGAGAATGGGGCGAGGTGATGGAAAGCGGGAGAATGGGGCGGGGCGATGGAAAGAGGGAGAATGGGGCGGGGCGATGGAAAGCGGGAGAATGGGGCGGGGCGATGGAAAGAGGGAGAATGAGGCGGGGTGATGGAAAGAGGGAGAATGGGGCGGGGTGATGGAAAGAGGGAGAATGGGGCTGGTTGATGGGAAGAGGGAGAATGGGGCTGGGTGATGGAAAGAGGGAGACTGGGGCTGGGTGATGGAAAGCGGGATAATGGGGCGGGGTGTTTGAAAGAAGGGAATGGGGATGGGTAATGGAAAGAGGGAGAATGGGGCGGGGTGATGGAAAGCGGGAGAATGGGGCGGGGTGATGGAAAGCGGGAGAACGGGGCGGGGTAATGGAAAGAGAGAGAACAGGGCGGGGTGATGGAAAGATAGAGAATGGGGCGGGGTGATGGAAACCGGGAGAATGGGGCGGGGCAATGGAAAGAGAGAGAATGGGACGGGGCGATGGAAAGCGAGAGAACGGGGCAGGGTGATGGAAAGAGGGAGAATGGGGCGGGGTGATGGAAAGAGGGAAAATGGGGCGGGGTGATGGAAAGAGGGAGAATGGGGCGGGGTGATGGAAAGAGGGAGAATGGGGATGGGTTATGGAAAGAGGGAGAATGGGGCTGGGTGATGGAAAGAGGGAGAATGGGGCGGGGCGATGGAAAGAGGGAGAATGGGGCGGGGTGATGGAAAGCGGGAGAATGGGGCGGGGTGATGGAAAGAGGGAGAATGGGGGGGGGGGCGATGGAAAGAGGGAGAATGGGGCGGGGTGATGGAAAGCGGGAGAATGGGGCGAGGTGATGGAAAGATGGAGAATGGGGCGGGGTGATGGAAAGAGGGAGAATGGGGCGGGGTGATGGAAAGAGGGAGAATGGGGCGGGGTGATGGAAAAAGGGAGAATGGGGCTGGTTGATGGGAAGAGGGAGAATGGGGCTGGGTGATGGAAAGAGGGAGACTGGGGCTGGGTGATGGAAAGCGGGATAATGGGGCGGGGTGTTTGAAAGAAGGGAATGGGGCGGGGTGATGGAAAGCGGGAGAACGGGGCGGGGTGATGGAAAGCGGGAGAACGGGGCGGGGTGATGGAAGGCGGGAGAATGGGGCGGGGTGATGGAAAGCGGGAGAACGGGGCGGGGTAATGGAAAGAGGGAGAACAGGGCGGGGCAATGGAAAGATAGAGAATGGGACGGGGCGATGGAAACCGGGAGAACGGGGCAGGGCAATGGAAAGAGGGAGAATGGGACGGGGCGATGGAAAGCGAGAGAACGGGGCAGGGTGATGGAAAGAGGGAGAATGGGGCGGGGTCATGGAAAGAGGGAGAATGGGGCGGAGTGATGGAAAGAGGGAGAATGGGGCGGGGTGATGGAAAGAGGGAGAATGGGGTTGGGTGATGGAAAGAGGGAGAATGGGGCTGGGTGATGGAAAGAGGGAGAATGGGGCGGGGCGATGGAAAGAGGGAGAATGGGGCGGGGTGATGGAAAGCGGGAGAATGGGGCGGGGTGATGGAAAGAGGGAGAATGGGGGGGGGGCGATGGAAAGAGGGAGAATGGGGCGGGGTGATGGAAAGTGGGAGAATGGGTCGGGGTGATGGAAAGAGGGAGAATAGGGCGGGGTGATGGAAAGAGGGAGAATGGGGCGGGTTGATGGAAAGAGGGAGAATGGGGCGGGGTGATGGAAAGAGGGAGAATGGGGCGAGGTGATGGAAAGCGGGAGAATGGGGCGGGGCGATGGAAAGAGGGAGAATGGGGCGGGGCGATGGAAAGCGGGAGAATGGGGCGGGGCGATGGAAAGAGGGAGAATGAGGCGGGGTGATGGAAAGAGGGAGAATGGGGCGGGGTGATGGAAAGAGGGAGAATGGGGCTGGTTGATGGGAAGAGGGAGAATGGGGCTGGGTGATGGAAAGAGGGAGACTGGGGCTGGGTGATGGAAAGCGGGATAATGGGGCGGGGTGTTTGAAAGAAGGGAATGGGGATGGGTGATGGAAAGAGGGAGAATGGGGCGGGGTGATGGAAAGCGGGAGAATGGGGCGGGGTGATGGAAAGCGGGAGAACGGGGCGGGGTAATGGAAAGAGGGAGAACAGGGCGGGGTGATGGAAAGATAGAGAATGGGGCGGGGTGATGGATACCGGGAGAATGGGGCGGGGCAATGGAAAGAGGGAGAATGGGACGGGGCGATGGAAAGCGAGAGAACGGGGCAGGGTGATGGAAAGAGGGAGAATGAGGCGGGGTGATGGAAAGAGGGAGAATGGGGCGGGGTGATGGAAAGAGGGAGAATGGGGCGGGGTGATGGAAAGAGGGAGAATGGGGTTGGTTGATGGAAAGAGGGAGAATGGGGCTGGGTGATGGAAAGAGGGAGAATGGGGCGGGGCGATGGAAAGAGGGAGAATGGGGCGGGGTGATGGAAAGCGGGAGAATGGGGCGGGGTGATGGAAAGAGGGAGAATGGGGGGGGGGGCGATGGAAAGAGGGAGAATGGGGCGGGGTGATGGAAAGAGGGAGAATGGGGCGGGGTGATGGAAAGAGGGAGAATGGGGCTGGGTGATGGAAAGAGGGAGAATGGGGCTGGGTGATGGAAAGAGGGAGAATGGGGCGGGGCGATGGAAAGCGGGAGAATGGGGCGGGGCGATGGAAAGAGGGAGATTTTGGCGGGGTGATGGAAAGCGGGAGAATGGGGTGGGGTGATGGAAAGAGGGAGAATGGGGCGGGGCGATGGGAAGAGGCAGAATGGGGCGGGGTGATGGAAAGAGGGAGAATGGGGCGGGGCGATGGAAAGCGGGAGATTGGAGCGGGGCGATGGAAAGCGGGAGAATGGGGCGGGGTGATGGAAAGCGGGAGAATGGGGCGGGGCGATGGAAAGAGGGAGAATGGGGCGGGGCAATGGAAAGAGGGAGAATGGGGCGGGGTGATGGAAAGCGGGAGAATGGGGCGGGGTGATGGAAAGCGGGAGAATGGGGCGGGGTGATGAAAAGCGGGAGAATGGGGCGGGGTGATGGAAAGAGGGAGAATGGGGCGGGGGGATGGAAAGAGGGAGAATGGGGCTGGGTGATGGAGGGGCTGGGTGATGGAAAGAGGGAGAATGGGGCTGGGTGATGGAAAGAGGGAGAATGGGGCGGGGCGGTGGAAAGCGGGAGAATGGGGCGGGGCGATGGAAAGAGGGAGAAAGAGGCGGGGTGATGGAAAGCGGGAGAATGGGGCGGGGTGATGGAAAGAGGGAGAATGGGGCGGGGTGATGGAAAGAGGGAGAATGGGGCGGGGCGATGGGAAGAGGCAGAATGGGGCGGGGTGATGGAAAGAGGGAGAATGGGGCGGGGTGATGGAAAGCGGGAGATTGGGGCGGGGCGATGGAAAGCGGGAGAATGAGGCGGGGCGATGGAAAGCGGGAGAATGGGGCGGGGTGATAACAAGCGGGAGAATGGGGCGGCGTGATTGAAAGTGGGAGAATGGGGCGGGGTGATGGAAAGCGGGAGAATAGGGCGGGGTGATGGAAAGCGGGAGATTGGGGCGGGGAGATGGAAAGCAGGAGAAGGGGGCGGGGTGATGGAAAGAGGGAGAATGGGGCAGGGTGATAAAAAGAGGGAGAACGGGGCAGGGTAATGGAAAGAGGGAGAATGGGGCTGGGGGATGGAAAGAGGGAGAATGGGGTGGGGTGATGGATAGAGGGAGAATGGGGCGGGGTGATGGAAATTGGGAGAATGGGGCGGGGTGATTGAAAGAGGGAGAATGGGGCGGGGTGATGGAAAGAGGGAGAATGGGGCGGGGTGATGGAAAGCGGGAGAATGGGGCGGGGTGATGGAAAGAGGGAGAATGGGGCGGGGCGATGGAAAGCGGGAGAATGGGGCGGGGCGATGGAAAGCGGGAGAATGGGGCGGGGTGATGGAAAGCGGGAGATTGGGGCTGGGTGATGGAAAGAGGGAGACTGGGGCGGGGTGATGGAAAGAGGGAGAATGGGGCTGGGTGATGGGAAGAGGGAGAATGGGGCTGGGTGATGGAAAGAGGGAGAATGGGGCTGGGTGATGGAAAGCAGGATAATGGGGTGGGGTGTTTGAAAGAAGGGGAATGGGGCTGGGTGTTGGAAAGAGGGAGAATGGGGCGGGGTGATGGAAAGCGGGAGAATGGGGCGGGGTGATGGAAAGCGGGAGAACGGGGCGGGGTAATGGAAAGAGGGAGAACGGGGCGGGGTGATGGAAAGATAGAGAATGGGGCGGGGAGATGGAAAGCGGGAGAATGGGGCGGGGTGATGGAAAGAGGGAGAATGGGGCGGGGTGATGGAAAGAGGGAGAATGGGGCGGGGTGATGGAAAGAGGGAGAATGGGGTTGGGTGATCGAAAGAGGGAGAATGGGGCGGCGTGATGGAAAGAGGGAGAGTGGGGCTGGGTGATGGAAAGAGGGAGAATGGGGCTGGGTGATGGAAAGATTGAGAATGGGGCGGGGCGATGGAAAGAGGGGGAATGGGGCAGGGTGATGGAAAGCAGGAGAATGGGGCGGGGTGATGGAAAGAGGGAGAATGGGGCGGGGCGGTGGGAAGAGGGAGAATGGGGCGGGGTGATGGAAAGCGGGAGATTGGGGCGGGGCGATGGAAAGCGGGAGAATGTGGCGGGGCGATGGAAAGCGGGAGAATGGGGCGGGGCGATGGAAAGCGAGAGAACGGGGCGGGGTGATGGAAAGCAGGAGAATAGGGCGGGGTGATGGAAAGGCGGGAGAATGGGGCTGGGTGATGGAAAGAGGGAGAATGGGGCGGGGTGATGGAAAGAGGGAGAATCGGGCTGGTTGATGGGAAGAGGGAGAATGAGGCTGGGTGAAGGAAAGAGGGAGACTGGGGCTGGGTGATGGAAAGCGGGATAATGGGGCGGGGTGTTTGAAAGAAGGGAATGGGGTGGGGTGATGGAAAGCGGGAGAACGGGGCGGGGTGATGGAAAGCGGGAGAACGGGGCGGGGTGATGGAAAGCGGGAGAATGGGGCGGGGTGATGGAAAGCGGGAGAACGGGGCGGGGTAATGGAAAGAGGGAGAACAGGGCGGGGCAATGGAAAGATTGAGAATGGGACGGGGCGATTGAAACCGGGAGAACGGGGCAGGGCAATGGAAAGAGGGAGAATAGGACGGGGCGATGGAAAGCGAGAGAACGGGGCAGGGTGATGGAAAGAGGGAGAATGGGGCGGGGTGATGGAAAGAGGGAGAATGGGGCGGGGTGATGGAAAGAGGGAGAATGGGGCGGGGTGATGGAAAGAGGGAGAATGGGGTTGGGTGATGGAAAGAGGGAGAATGGGGCTGGGTGATGGAAAGAGGGAGAATGCTGCGGGGCGATGGAAAGAGGGAGAATGGGGCGGGGTGATGGAAAGCGGGAGAATGGGGCGGGGTGATGGAAAGAGGGAGAATGGGGGGGGGGCGATGGAAAGAGGGAGAATGGGGCGGGGTGATGGAAAGCAGGAGAATGGGGCGGGGTGATGGAAAGAGGGAGAATGGGGCGGGGTGATGGAAAGAGGGAGAATGGGGCGGGGTGATGGAAAGAGGGAGAATGGGGCGAGGTGATGGAAAGCGGGAGAATGGGGCGGGGCGATGGAAAGAGGGAGAATGGGGCGGGGCGATGGAAAGCGGGAGAATGGGGCGGGGCGATGGAAAGAGGGAGAATGAGGCGGGGTGATGGAAAGAGGGAGAATGGGGCGGGGTGATGGAAAGAGGGAGAATGGGGCTGGGTGATGGAAAGAGGGAGACTGGGGCTGGGTGATGGAAAGCGGGATAATGAGGCGGGGTGTTTGAAAGAAGGGAATGGGGCTGGGTGATGGAAAGAGGGAGAATGGGGCGGGGTGATGGAAAGCGGGAGAATGGGGCGGGGTGATGGAAAGCGGGAGAACGGGGCGGGGTAATGGAAAGAGGGAGAACAGGGCGGGGTGATGGAAAGATAGAGAATGGGGCGGGGTGATGGAAACCGGGAGAATGGGGCGGGGCAATGGAAAGAGGGAGAATGGGACGGGGCGATGGAAAGCGAGAGAACGGGGCAGGGTGATGGAAAGAGGGAGAATGGGACGGGGTGATGGAAAGAGGGAGAATGGGGCGGGGTGATGGAAAGAGGGAGAATGGGGCGGGGTGATGGAAAGAGGGAGAATGGGGCGGGGTGATGGAAAGAGGGAGAATGGGGTTGGGTGATGGAAAGAGGGAGAATGGGGCTGGGTGATGGAAAGAGGGAGAATGGGGCGGGGCGATGGAAAGAGGGAGAATGGGGCGGGGTGATGGAAAGCGGGAGAATGGGGCGGGGTGATGGAAAGAGGGAGAATGGGGGGGGGGGCGATGGAAAGAGGGAGAATGGGGCGGGGTGATGGAAAGCGGGAGAATGGGGCGAGGTGATGGAAAGAGGGAGAACGGGGCGGGGTGATGGAAAGAGGGAGAATGGGGTGGGGTGATGGAAAGAGGGAGAATGGGGCGGGGTGATGGAAAGAGGGAGAATGGGGCTGGGTGATGGAAAGAGGGAGAATGGGGCTGGGTGATGGAAAGAGGGAGAATGGGGCGGGGCGATGGAAAGCGGGAGAATGGGGCGGGGCGATGGAAAGAGGGAGATTTTGGCGGGGTGATGGAAAGCAGGAGAATGGGGCGGGGTGATGGATAGAGGGAGAATGGGGCGGGGTGATGGAAAGAGGGAGAATGGGGCGGGGCGATGGAAAGCGGGAGATAGGGGCGGGGCGATGGAAAGCGGGAGAATGGGGCGGGGTGATGGAAAGCGGGAGAATGGGGCTGGGTGATGGAAAGCGGAGAATGGGGCGGGGTGATGGAAAGCTTGAGAATGGGGCGGGGTGATGGAAAGCGGGAGAATGGGGCGGGGTGATGGAAAGCGGGAGAATGGGGCGGGGAGATGGAAAGCGGGAGAATGGGGCGGGGTGATGGAAAGAGGGAGAATGGGGCTGGGTGATGGAGGGGCTGGGTGATGGAAAGAGGGAGAATGGAGCTGGGTGATGGAAAGAGGGAGAATGGGGCGGGGCGGTGGAAAGCGGGAGAATGGGGCGGGGCGATGGAAAGAGGGAGAATGAGGCGGGGTGATGGAAAGCGGGAGAATGGGGCGGGGTGATGGAAAGAGGGAGAATGGGGCGGGGTGATGGAAAGAGGGAGAATGGGGCGGGGCGATGGGAAGAGGCAGACTGGGGCGGGGTGATGGAAAGAGGGAGAATGGGGTGGGGTGATGGAAAGCGGGAGATTGGAGCGGGGCGATGGAAAGCGGGAGAATGAGGCGGGGCGATGGAAAGCGGGAGAATGGGGCAGGGTGATAACAAGGTGTAGAATGGGGCGGGGTGATTGAAAGTGGGAGAATGGGGCGGGGTGATGGAGAGCGGGAGAATGGGGCGGGGTGATGGAAAGCGGGAGATTGGGGCGGGGAGATGGAAAGCAGGAGAAGGGGGCGGGGTGATGGAAAGAGGGAGAATGGGGCGGGGTGATGAAAAGAGGGAGAACGGGGCAGGGTAATGGAAAGAGGGAGAATGGGGCGGGGTGATTGAAAGAGGGAGAATGGGGCGGGGTGATGGAAAGAGGGAGAATGGGGCAGGGTAATGGAAAGAGGGGGAATGGGGCGGGGTGATTGAAAGAGGGAGAATGGGGCGGGGTGATGGAAAGAGGGAGAACGGGGCAGGGTAATGGAAAGAGGGAGAATGGGGCGGGGTGATTGAAAGCGGGAGAATGGGGCGGGGTGATGGAAAGAGGGAGAATGGGGCGGGGCGATGGAAAGCGGTAGAATGGGGCGGGGCGATGGAAAGAGGGTGAATGGGGCGGGGTGATGGAAAGAGGGAGAATGGGGCGGGGTGATGGAAAGCGGGAGAATGGGGCTGGGTGATGGAAAGAGGGAGAATGGGGCGGGGTGATGGAAAGAGGGAGAATGGGGCTGGGTGATGGGAAGAGGGAGAATGGGGCTGGGTGATGGAAAGAGGGAGAATGGGGCTGGGTGATGGAAAGCGGGATAATGGGGCAGGGTGTTTGAAAGAAGGGGAATGGGGCTGGGTGATGGAAAGAGGGAGAATGGGGCGGGGTGATGGAAAGCGGGAGAACGGGGCGGGGTAATGGAAAGAGGGAGAACGGGGCGGGGTGATGGAAAGATAGAGAATGGGGCGGGGTGATGGAAAGCGGGAGAATGGGGCGGGGTGATGGAAAGAGGGAGAATGGGGCGGGGGGATGGAAAGAGGGAGAATGGGGCTGGGTGATGGAGGGGCTGGGTGATGGAAAGAGGGAGAATGGGGCTGGGTGATGGAAAGAGGGAGAATGGGGCGGGGCGGTGGAAAGCGGGAGAATGGGGCGGGGCGATGGAAAGAGGGAGAATGAGGCGGGGCGATGGAAAGCGGGAGAATGGGGCGGGGTGATGGAAAGAGGGAGAATGGGGCGGGGTGATGGAAAGAGGGAGAATGGGGCGGGGCGATGGGAAGAGGCAGAATGGGGCGGGGTGATGGAAAGAGGGAGAATGGGGCGGGGTGATGGAAAGCGGGAGAATGGGGCGGGGTGATGGAAAGCGGGTGATGGAAAGAGGGAGAATGGGGCAGGGTGATGGAAAGAGGGAGAACGGGGCAGGGTAATGGAAAGAGGGAGAATGGAGCTGGGGGATGGAAAGAGGGAGAATGGGGTGGGGTGATGGATAGAGGGAGAATGGGGCGGGGTGATGGAAATTGGGAGAATGGGGCGGGGTGATTGAAAGAGGGAGAATGGGGCGGGGTGATGGAAAGAGGGAGAATGGGGCGGGGTGATGGAAAGCGGGAGAATGGGGCGGGGTGATGGAAAGAGGGAGAATGGGGCGGGGCGATGGAAAGCGGGAGAATGGGGCGGGGCGATGGAAAGCGGGAGAATGGGGTGGGGTGATGGAAAGCGGGAGAATGGGGCTGGGTGATGGAAAGAGGGAGACTGGGGCGGGGTGATGGAAAGAGGGAGAATGGGGCTGGGTGATGGGAAGAGGGAGAATGGGGCTGGGTGATGGAAAGAGGGAGAATGGGGCTGGGTGATGGAAAGCGGGATAATGGGGTGGGGTGTTTGAAAGAAGGGGAATGGGGCTGGGTGTTGGAAAGAGGGAGAATGGGGCGGGGTGATGGAAAGCGGGAGAATGGGGCGGGGTGATGGAAAGCGGGAGAACGGGGCGGGGTGATGGAAAGATAGAGAATGGGGCGGGGTGATGGAAAGCGGGAGAATGGGCTGGGGTGATGGAAAGAGGGAGAATGGGGCGGGGTGATGGAAAGATGGAGAATGGGGCGGGGTGATGGAAAGAGGGAGAATGGGGTTGGGTGATCGAAAGAGGGAGAATGGGGCGGCGTGATGGAAAGAGGGAGAGTGGGGCTGGGTGATGGAAAGAGGGAGAATGAGGCTGGGTGATGGAAAGATTGAGAATGGGGCGGGGCGATGGAAAGAGGGGGAATGGGGCGGGGTGATGGAAAGCAGAAGAATGGGGCGGGGTGATGGAAAGAGGGAGAATGGGGCGGGGTGATGGAAAGAGGGAGAATGGGGCGGGGCGGTGGGAAGAGGGAGAATGGGGCGGGGTGATGGAAAGCGGGAGATTGGGGCGGGGCGATGGAAAGCGGGAGAATGTGGCGGGGCGATGGAAAGCGGGAGAATGGGGCGGGGCGATGGAAAGCGAGAGAACGGGGCGGGGTGATGGAAAGCAGGAGAATGGGGCGGGGTGATGGAAAGGCGGGAGAATAGGGCTGGGTGATGGAAAGAGGGAGAATGGGGCGGGGTGATGGAAAGAGGGAGAATGGGGCTGGTTGATGGGAAGAGGGAGAATGGGGCTGGGTGATGGAAGGAGGGAGACTGGGGCTGGGTGATGGAAAGCGGGATAATGGGGCGGGGTGTTTGAAAGAAGGGAATGGGGTGGGGTGATGGAAAGCGGGAGAACGGGGCGGGGTGATGGAAAGCGGGAGAACGGGGCGGGGTGATAGAAAGCGGGAGAATGGGGCGGGGTGATGGAAAGCGGGAGAACGGGGCGGGGTAATGGAAAGAGGGAGAACAGGGCGGGGCAATGGAAAGATAGAGAATGGGACGGGGTGATTGAAACCGGGAGAACGGGGCAGGGCAATGGAAAGAGGGAGAATAGGACGGGGCGATGGAATGCGAGAGAACGGGGCATGGTTGATGGAAAGATGGGGAGAATGGGGCGGGGTGATGGAAAGAGGGAGAAATCGGGCGGGGTGATGGAAAGAGGGAGAAAATGGGGCGGGGGTGATGGAAAGAGGGAGAATGGGGCGGGGTAATGGAAAGAGGGAGAACGGGGCGGGGTAATGGAAAGAGGGAGAATGGGGCGGGGTGATTGAAAGCGGGAGAATGGGGCGGGCGATGGAAAGAGGGAGAATGGGGCGGGGCGATGGAAAGCGGTAGAATGGGGCGGAGCGATGGAAAGCGGGAGAATGGGGCGGGGTGATGGAAAGCGGGAGAATGGGGCTGGGTGATGGAAAGAGGGAGAATGGGGCGGGGTGATGGAAAGAGGGAGAATGGGGCTGGGTGATGGGAAGAGGGAGAATGGGGCTGGGTGATGGAAAGAGGGAGAATGGGGCTGGGTGATGGAAAGCGGGATAATGGGGCGGGGTGTTTGAAAGAAGGGGAATGGGGCTGGGTGATGGA